CTCATCCTTATGCTGTTCGTTGTCATGTTGTCTTAAGTTGTCTTATGATATACCTCATAGTGGTAAGTTCCTCTCATCCTTATGCTGTTCGTTGTTATGTTGTCTTAGGTTGTCTATACAGACACGAGTGAAAAACGTCTGCGCATGCTCTGAATCCGTATGCAAATTAGTTAAAACATAATTAAATTTGACTTTCAAACATGCCTGATAAATTGGACTTCACAAAATGCCAAAACTTAGTGTCCATGCTTGAAACTTAAAGCTAATTCTTTCATATTGTGTTTGTTAATAAAGTATCTTGGTCTGACAAAAGTATATTCTTTTTTGTATACTTGGAGAAAACAAACATTCATTTTCTCACTCAAACTCTTCAAAATTCTTAGAAAACGTGCTGAAATGCACGCATGCGTAAACGTTTTTCTCTAGTGTCGTCTATACGAGGTTGTATTTCGTTCTCTCTTATCTATGTGGGAGGGCACTGGTGGCAATTAGTAAGTTAAGGGGACTGCCTACTTTTGAACGTTCGATTTGAGCCCACGATGTGCACGCGCTCAAAAACCGCTGAAAAATCTACAAGATTTTATTGAAGAACCATACGCGTTTTGAGCTTCAACAGGGCAAAACCCTCAAATTTTGCACGGAACTCTCTATTTTTTAATAGCTTATTTGAATAAACTCCTAAAAATCTAGGTTATATCAACATTTTAGAAAAAGTTAAATATTCTAACACATGAAAAAATAGATGTTTGTAGGGATTTTTGTTCGACTTTATAAGATTTTTTAAGAGCACCGAAACTACAAAATATGACAAATCAATAAATCTATTTGTCTTTTTGTCAAAAATATCCACGTATTATTGTAGAATGATTGACTAGCCTTCATTCGTGCAATCATAGAGTCTGCAAATAAGTATTATCTTATGAATCTTAATTTTTTTCTAATCACTTCCGGTGGCGCAATTTTTGCTCCAAAAGCTCGCGCGTAGGCTTCCATTAAATGCTGATTATCTCGAAAACATGCTCGGGACACCCAGTTTTTCTTTTCAGATTTGGAATAAGCATTAAATTTCAATTCGGAAAATCGAAGCTTTAAAAAAAAGTTTAATATTTTTTTTACACCACAGTAGACCGTAGACTTACTGATTTGTGCAATTTCTTGCAAAGTTTTTCACCGATATATCGTATGCACTCTATCAAATGAATATTATTACAATTTCTAGGCTCCATGAACATCAATCCTCGTACGGGAATGGCACTGAATACTACTTACGCAATCTACCTGGATAACTGGATAGACACTGACCTGCCATTGGCATACGAATGCGGTATAAGACAGGGCGAAGATTTCAAAATATTGGCCAAAACTCAAGAACCCCCGATTGGGCTAAAACTCCCTGCCGGTGACCCTCAAAACGATGACTTGCTGGAGATTGAGTGTTGGATATCTGATAGAGCTGGTGCTGCTACAGTAGTGAACAAGAGGGTTCAGGTATGTGTGTCATGCGTTTATATTCCAAGGGTGGTACCAAGAATAAAATAATATTTTACAAGAAAAATGAAAGATATTAAAGGACGTTTAGGGTTAACAGCCAACCTGTTGAAATCATCCTCTATCTGCCGAACCCCTTAAGGAGCAATCTAAAATCTAAAGAGGAAGCTATATACTGGCTTTCAACAGAATACTCTCTGGTTGATAGCACATGACGGGCAGTGTTTGCCTGTCATTGTAGGCTGGTAATGAGATTCATGAGGTTCATTCAGCTGAATGATACTAAGCAATAGAATACTCTCTGGTTGATAGCACATGACGGGCAGTGTTTGCCTGTCATTGTAGGCTGGTAATGAGATTCATGAGATTCATTCAGCTGACTGATACCAAGCAATAGAATACTCTCTGGTTGATAGCACATGGCGGGCAGTACTTGCTTGTCATTGTAGGCTGGTAATGAGATTCATTCAGCTGAATGATACCAATAGCGCAGCGCACTGATTCTAAAGATAACTTAAAGATTCGGACAAACATTGCATTCTGTTTAACCGCTACGAGGATTATACGAACCGATTTTATTATTTTTACTTAAAGTTACAATAATAACCCATGTAAACTAAGRCCAACTGCGATCGGCTGTGAAAATTATCTGCTGAAAGTAAACTTGTAACTTTGTTTGTCCGAATTTCGCCTTTGTCTTCGTTTTTATGACGTCACGGTTTTTATGACGTCACGGTTGCGCTGCGATATATACTCTCTGGTTGATAGCGCATGACGGGCAGTGTTTGCCTGCCAATTAAGGCCCCCCCCCCCTCCACCATCTGAGATTATCAGTACTGATTTAGACTTACGTTTCGTGCTGCCTTTCCATCCAACAGGTCAAACCAATGAACATCACAGAAGACAAGCTTTTGAACTTCCTCAACCAGACCATCAACGGCAAAGATGGTCCTTTAAGTAAAGCCGTACAAGAGGCAGACTTTGCCGCGATCTTCCAGCTGACTCACTCGGTTTCCAACATGATGGAAGACATGTACAGTGCTGCGGAAGAAGCCAAGAAACAGAACCTTACTGAAGAGCAGAAGCAAGTGCTGCAGCAGGAAGAGAAKCAACGCAGTGAAGTGAGTGTTAGGTCCTGGCTAAACGAGGAAACATATTTCCAGAAACATGTTTTCCTGTCAAAACTGTCAGGAAACATCGGGAAACAATGTTTCCATGCGTCTTGGAAACAGAAAATGTTCTGCCGCACAGCAGTAACATTTTTTGCGTCTTGGAAGCAAAATTTGTTGCACGCAGCAATGTTTCGCATGTGGCTAAACTTGGAAACATCGGGGAGACTTGAGCACGGTAAACATGTTTCCTCGTTTAGCCAGGGCCTTAGAATGAAAATTGTTATTTTATAAATTCTGCGTGACAAGGATGGTAGCGGTTTTCGTGTGTCTGTAAGAAGCTTGGTGCCGTAGCGTGCCTTGCCGTGACCGTGATGTTTTCTAGGATTTTGATTTTTTTCTCGCTCATTGTCATTGGTCTGGCGTACTTGATCTTGGCGTGACTGTGTCCGCGCGGTGTTTATGCCGTGTTCCGTGTATTTGATGGAATYGAATTCTCGCGCAATGTGAATTGTCTGGCAAATCCCTTGCCGTGTTACGCTCGCGTTTGTTTTGCCACACGTTTGTCACACATTCTTCAAGCGTAAGTTATATGTGTTCTGTCGTAGTACATTGAAGAAATAGAAAACGCTCGCGCGTGCTGTGTGCAGTTATAAAGCACGCGGGGGTTGGCAGAACACGAGAGAAGTGGAGAAGTATTAGGAGAAGTACGACGCGTAGCAGATTGCTTCTCGACACTTCTCAAGTGTTCTGCCAATCCCCAAGTGTTTTATAACTCCAAAGCAAGCAAGTTTTTTTTCTTTCATAAAGTACAAATTACAATAACCGTTATTTTGGATACGAATGCGATGTATTTGCTGCGATGAACACGAGCAGAAGATAACAATATCGAATTTCTGATTTCAGCTCAAACTGTCTTTGATGAAAACTCTTTCCACTGTGGACATAGGGACCCTCACGGATGGCAAACTAATGGCGGGAGCTGTCGATGAGCTTACCAAAGGATATAAAGATCTTGGAAGTACAAGTCAGGTAGGGCAGTAATGATGATAGGAATGCCAAGAATAGTGATAATGATGATAGCGATAACAGTGACGGTGATGATGATGATGATGATA